TAAGATGCCATTGAAATATTTATTTGCTATTCAATTAGCAATTCTAAGTATAGAGTAGATTTTTATTTTTTTTTTTTTCTACATTTTATAGTTTATATTGATGTCCATACTTTCATTTTTTGATTTTTAAATCCAAACTCAGTCAGCTTTTTGCCTCAAGTCAAATTCCTTCAGAATCCAACTTTCCCAATTAGAACTGGGTGTATTGTTTCAATTTTTTTTTCGCCTTTTTTCTAAAGGAAAAAAGGAAAGATTGAGACTCTTAGAAAGGATTATGAATAATAGGAAAAAAAAGAAAACAAAAAAGGTATTTATTTGTAATTTTTATTGGTTTTTTTTAAAATATAAGATCCAAGGTATTTGTTTCTTTAATCCAATGGCTTTGGCAATTCCTTCTTGGAGAGACGAAAGTTTGTGTTGAGAGATTTGTGTTTTAGCTTGTAGGCAGGCAACTATAACTATCACTGTTTTTCTGTTGTCCATTTAATTGAAGGTATTTTGGACGTGGACATTTTGTATTCTTTTTGCAGTGGATGCTAGTACTTTGAAAATGATTCAATCATTTTTGGATTCTTTGATAGTTTTAATTTAGCTTGCGGTCGTTTATAGCCCTGTGCCATGTAGCTTATTAATGGTGAAGTCATGCAAATTATTGTGTTTAATGTTAATTGTGCTTGTCATGATTTTAGTTTTGGCTCTTTCCTTTGATGCTAACAAGTCGTAATTTAAGAGCTTTAGGTTCAGACACTTTCTGATTTTGAGAAAATTTTGAAATTTTGCAATGGTAGTCAATAAATTTTTAAGTTCTGCAGATCTAAGCAAGCAAATTGGAGAAGAATGATTTTACTATTTGTGGAATTCATTCCAAGTGGAATTGTTTAGGGTTTCATCTTAAATTTTCATTTGGTTTTAGGATTCCCTAAAATTCATAGATATAATTTGCTATTTCGTTTTGAATTTTAGCAAACAAGTAACGGTTTTTCTCTAATAAAATAGATTCAATTGTAGGATATATTGGTTTTAAAGCCCAATGGATTTGGAAGTTTCTTAATGTGTAAGAAAGAGTATTTTGTTAAATTTTAGCATTTTTGCTGCAGGTAGGCGAATAAATATTTCCTCTCAGTCACTCTAATGTCCCTTTAGCTCTGAGATTTTTCTTTTTTGAACCGGCTTGAGAGTATTTTGACTTTCGTTTCCTGGTGGATATTAATAGTTTTCGAGCTGTCTATTATAATTTGTATATCTGTCATTAATACTAAAAATCATTGGTGGTCTTTAAGCCCCGTGGATGTTGTTCTGTAAGGGGTGAAGCCATGTAAAGCATTATGCTCTGGTTTTTTGTGCTTTTTTCAAAGATTCAAATTTCTCCACACCAATCAAAGTATTTTGCACTTCTATTTGGTATGAACAGATATCACGATAAACTGAAGAATCAAATAAAAGCAATATCTAATCTGATAATTGGCTGATATGGAGTCCCTTTAAGGTACAGGTGGAACAGAAATCATGACGGACTTGGAGAACCACATATTTCAAAATTACTTGACAATATACGTTCTATGTGATTGGAAAAGCACAGAGGTTAGAGAGAAGCTGAGACCACAAATGTTTGCTGGTGTATCCTATTCTTTCAGACCAAGTCACATAACTGATTACTTTTAAGCACTATACCTGAGGAAAGAAGTTCTATTTTGTTATTAGAGAACTTACTTGCTGGATTTTGAAAGAGAAAATCCTTGCTGACTTTCCTAAACTCTTTAAAACCAGGGTCATATCTCTACTTCAACATCAACTTGGACTCTGTTTCACTTCTTGCAAGTGAATAATGGATACATCCGTCCATGCCTGGAACTAAAACCCTTTTTGTGATTGTCCTAGCGAACTTTCTTGACAAGAATGTTTTTAATCAGTAATGGTAGGCCCTGGCCGACCCTGGTGATGTTGTAGCATTGTCAGGAATTATGTGTCATTACATTAGAATAGAACTGGTAGTGTATCTGGCGTCTTGAACTTAATCTAAGCTATTATTTTGAATTTTTAGGGGGTTTATCGCAGGATTAATGTAAGTCTGCCTTTGTTCTTGGCAAACAATGAAGAAATTGGTTTCCCTCAGCTTAAAGTGAGACGTAACAAAAGTGCTGATTCCCTTCATGGTTTTGGATAACTCAAAGGAAGGCTGCCTTGATGAGGCTATCTGTCCTCTTAATGGGTGCACACTTGCGTCAGAATCTTTCCCACTGGGCAGAAAAATCAGCATTTTCTTAAAAAAGTCGCTTTGATCATTCTCTAGTGGAAAGACTAGCAATCAAATTTGTTATCTTTGTCCCCTTGAATTGCTTGCCATCTTGTCATGTTCATTATAATGCCCTCCAACATTGACCTAAGATCCGCAAAGCTTTAGAACTCATCATTAATTTAATGTGGTTTAACTGGGAAAAATACCCCTAGAAAACTTTCTAAGCTTTAAAATTTGCAAGACAGTGTACTACAGTTGACACTGTAGTATTTATAAATTAGTGAACTTTAAAATTACTAAGCATATGATTATGGAATTTCTCAAATAAACAGGGATATTAATTTGATTAAATTTGAATTGAGGCTCAACATTCACAATTGAAGTCAACTAGAAATCACCTTCTGAATTCATAAAATAAGAAAGTCCAGAGAAGTAAAGAATGAGTTTGTTTTCTGCACTTGTTTTATTTCCTATCTAATGTATAAATTGCAGTTCTTATTTCCATGCATGTGTGGGATATTGCTTCTCTTTTCCTTGCTTTCCATTGTTTTAACCTTGTGCATGTCTGCATGCACGTAAGCATGCATGAATTGATTTGCCATTTGCATTTTGTTTTTGTTGTTAATAATGGACAAGAACATTATTCTTTTTTGATATAACAGGGCTCCTCCTATTTTGAAGTCCAAACTGAATGACTGGGAAGTGCTTTTGCTCTGTCCTTTTGGGACCCAATTCCATGCTGATTGTGCTGTACCTCAGGTGAATTAGTTTTTGACTGTTGATGTTTGTTTCAGCTTTCCATCGTTGGATTTGTGGCCTTCTATATATTAAAAGCTCATAGGTATATTAAAAGTCTAGATGCCTTCCAATTGTTATGAAAGAATTGCATTCCTAGATTTAATTTTAAATACATTCTTTTAAGGTTCCTTTGTAATTATTTTTGATTATGAACTTAGACAAGAATCAATGATGTTATATATATATATTATATATATAATATATATAATATATAATATATATATATACAGGTTATGATCCCCAGGGACTGAAAATGGTAGAAACAGTGAACATGAATATCAGCAATCAAATCTTTGTACTTTTGTTTCTATTTGGTTGTGGGAAAATCTCAGTTTGCTGGTGGAAAATTATAAGTTGACCAAATTAAAAAGCCATTGGGCACTTCTCACATCAGATTTTAGTTGCTATGTTGAAACCCAAAGTTCTGATTGCATTATTTTAAGTTTCAAACTTGTGTTTTCCAAATCAACCAAAGGTTTGGTTTCCTACAAGTTACATGCTTTGTTTTTGTAAGTGCATTTTTCACTTCTCTTACACATACACATCCAAAAGTCTGCTGTTGAGGGTAAATGGCTGTCAAATAAATCATCTTTTTTTTTTATGTTATGTATAATTTCTAATGCCATAATATCTAAAAACAATGGCTAATATTTTTGCCCATGACGTACTTCTTTAGTTGCTTCGACTAGAACGATCTGTGTCCTCAAGAGGGCGTGCCTTACTTAAGGGCTTCAAGGGCTTTGCGCTCAACAGTCCTCAGGCGGTCACTTCACTCAGGCTATCGCCTCCAGGCAGAAGGCGTGCCGGCTTTTTATGCGCCTTTTTTGCACCTAAGGCTTCAAGAAAGGCCGCTCCTTTCTATTTTTTTTGTTTTTTTCTGAAGTAGTTCCACTTAGCTTTTTGTTGATCTAGCCTCCACTCCTTCATCCTAGCACTCACCTCTTGCAATCTAGTTTTTTTTTCCAATAGCCATTCAGATATGCTTCTCCATTTTCTCTTCCTAATACTTGCTTTTAATTTTTTTTTTCCCCATTTTCTCGATTCTAACAGTTTCCCTATCTAAACTCTAATAATACTTAAAATATACTTGTCATGTTGCTTTTTTTTTTTTTTTTTTTTCCTGATTTATGTGTGTTTCTTTCCATGTTTTTTTCCTATTTTTTTTTTTTTTTTCATTTTTTTATAATCTTAAAACATAATTTTTCAGATTTATGTGGTTTTACATTATTTTTTATTTATTTATGCGCCTCACTTCACTCAAGGCTCGGCGCCTTTGCCCAGAAGCTAGCACTAGGCTCTAGCAACCTTTTGCGCCTTAGTGCGCCTTTGGTCTTTAATTGATTGGTCTCTGCCCTATTCTTTTATACCCACTGCAGATAGTTTTTTTGGATATTGGAATTCAAATTTTTGGCAGTTCAGTATGGATATCTGAAAATCCTGTATGTTATGTTGTGCGTGGGTGCCGTGTAAAATTAATCCACCGTGTTTAAAGAATTGACTTGGATGCGTATAATTGTGTCCGTGGTGTTCGTTGGGAGGCATATTTGCTTTCCTTCCAGAAAGTTGCAAAAGTGTGATAAAGTCATCAAGCCTGGACATAAAACTAGTTTGCCATTGTTAAGTCAATTTCTTTGATTGGATAAATTGTAGTAGCACTGGAGAGAAAATTGCCTCTTGTTTTTTTAACTAATGTACTGTTTGACTGATTTTCCATGTATTTTCTGCAGGAGCTGGACACAGAATGAAATTCTGAAGCAACTAAAGTATATTGAGATGGTATTTTTGGATTCGAGCTTTCTTTCAGTCTTACCTATTATGATAGCTGTCCTGATTGCACTGACAATGCCGGATGAGGCTGATGTCCTGGTTGATTGTATTCCTTAAATGTGTCCATTAGAGTGAGTACAGAGCTCGCATTCACATTGAATATGGAACTAATTCTATGGGCAAGCTGAAGGCCACTGTTTAATCTTTTTTTTTTTTTTTTTGGTCCAATAATGTCCAGAATGGTAGTGAAAACCTCAGAATCGGAATTGTCTTAATCACTCACACGTTTGTCATGGAGAAATGAAATAGAACCAAATAATGGTAAAAAATCAGTAGAAATTTTATCATAGGATAAGTTCTCCTATTGGCCAATGTGGAAATCAAACCTTGAGGTTAGGATCCTCTTTTGTTTTTAGGCCACAAATGCACTTCTGGTGCTATAGTTCAAATCTTTCATTACTTTGTTTAACATGAAAACTATGCTGCGTAGCTGAGGCCCCGGCTTGCTGCTAATACGGCGAAAATTAGGCAACACAAAAATGATATTGATTCAAAGGACAATGTAGAGGATGTGCAAATACAATGAACTCAACCACTAGGACATGATTTTTTTGTTGGAAAAGTATAAATACAGTTTGGGAATGTACAGTCATAGAAATCATTCCATAGCCAAGAATTTTGAAATTGGTGATACTTGACACGGTTGTAATGAAAAATTGTTGCCAGAACTGGAAAATCAGAAGTAAAAATATGTTTGGATTCTTGTTGCATATTTTAATGTGCTATTTGCTTCCTTAGATGTATTGTATTGCTCCTTTCCCTGCAGTTTGCTAAGCTACTGTGTATCGTCCAAATGCAAATGCTAGCAAGAAACTTTTATCTGGGTTGTAAAATTATAGTTCCTGTCGCACTTCAATTGGATTTCTTTTGTGGAATTAATTGTATGTTTTCTGGACTAGGAGATTTGAACAATGATACTAATGGACTGAATTTCTCATTTAGGGTTAAAAATTCCAAGTACGTAGAGGCAGTATTGAAAACAAATTTTCCCATTTCAACAAAAACCTGCTCATCCCTCTTTTTCTAAGGATTTACCTGGTGTGAGATATCACATTTGTTTGAGAACTCTAAATGCTGTCGGAGTAAGGATCGTCAAAACTTAGGGCGTTCTAGTGGTGTTGTAGAAAAAAAATGAAAAGGATTATTTCGGTTTCTGATAGTTTATTCTTAATCAGTGCATAAGATCCATACTCTGGATCGAAATCATGGGAGTACTACTTGATCAATTTCTTCCATCAAGTGAGATTCTTATGGTTAAAAGATTCTTCTTTCTAGTTTGCTCTAGGAGCAATTAGGTGATTTTCTAGAAGAAATGTGGGGTTTGTTTCTCTGGCTGGCAACAATGCTTATGGGGTTAATCAAATATGATTTCTAAGAATAAATTTTTTGAATATTAAAACTCAATCGATTCTCTTTTTCAAAAAAAAAAAAAAAAAAACAATCGATTTGCATAACATGTAAAATGGGGCAAGATGTTCTGCTCAGCTGGAATACAATCATAAAGTTGAAAGTACTGGAGATTCCTATAGGCATACCATCAGAAAAGGCTACTAATACTTGTAATTTGCTCTGCTATTTTGCCAGCCTGGCTGAGGAAGAGTTAGGGGGCGTAAAACAAAAAAAAAAGATTTGGGTCGCTTGTCTTGGAATAAATGGGATAAAATGGATTAATATTGGTTTCAATTTGACTCATTATTAAGAGATCGATCTTGAATTTGACGGATCATTCCTTTTTCTACTGATATATGAAATATGAAGATTTTGCCAAGTTGATTCTTATATCACAAATTAAGACCATTTGGTGCTTACTTCAACAAGAGCGCAAGCCTCAGTCTATCAAATAACGGCGAGGGATTTACCTTAATTGATTCTACTGCCTCCGAAGGTTCGAAATCAAAATGAACATCTCGAGAATTGGTGAAAGAACCACTATCAGCAGAGTGAAATAGAACATGAAACCGTAAGCTCGCCAATCAATGGAAGGAGCCTAAGGGCTCTTACCGTGCTTGCCTGTTGAAGAAATGAGCTAGATGACTCATAAGGCCCATTCGTCCATCAAATACCTCCAACACTCTAAACCTTTGTCATAATATTTATACATCGGCACTAGAATAGATATCATAATTCATGAGAATACGATCACTTTCAAGATGTCCATTTCAGTCATTTTATTCAATTCAACGATTGATCAAAAAAATTTCAAAATTTTAATAAAATAATAAAATTACATTAACTTAGATCAACCAAAATCATCATTAATCAGTAGAATTGGAAAGCGGGCACTAAGATTTCCGGAAGTGATGCTTGTTAGTTAAAAGACCCAAGTAGTAACTCCTTTGGATTGAAAAAATCAATCTGGATTATACGTTGTAAATCCTTCGCCCATGCTACTTGTGTCAAAGCATAAGCTAGTTGATGCCTTTTCAAGTTTACAGGACTCTCACATCTAAAGTGAGCACTCCAACGTCGCTTAATGGATACAAGTTTACTCTGGGATAACAGCTGATGCTTTTCCTAAGAGCTCACATCGGGGAAGTTCTGGCACCCTCGATGTCGACTCAAGGCCAACCCTGTAGGTAAATATTTAATGCGTTCGCCTACTTGGAGAGAAGTTACTTTTGGAGGAGAAAAACATGCATTTTTGGATCTACGTGCTTCTTGGTTAGAACCTCTAAGAGGTCCAAGAATGGTTTGGACTTGAGTAGGTTGAAAAAAGACATACAACCTTGGCAAAAAACGCCGTTTCGCAGAATATATGATCTATCGCTTTAGGTTCGTTGAATCTGTAGGTGGCGTAAGCTACCAAGATCAAATGTAAGTCAATTATGGTCTCTCCTAATAGTTGGTTAGCTACCCTCATTTTTGGTTCTAGGGGTTCTCCTATTCATAGGTTATTTTAATGGCACACGGAAAGGGGCTCGTGCAGTCGCAGTAAGGATTTGAAAAGGAATCGATCGTGATTTTTGAACCTGTTCTTTCCATGACTCCCTCTTAACATAAGACAAGAGCCGAGATCGCCCCTTTCCATTCTGGGACAACGGAGGGATCGTAACCATTCGACCTTTTTTTTTCATGCTTTTTCTTGGAGGTCTGGAGAAAGCTTGCAATCAACTAGGAATTTCCCCTAATCCTCCTCTTCCTAAGAAAGGCGAAAGGCGAGGTGTGAAGTGAGAGAAAAGGGATTTCATAATTGGGGTTTTGAATAAGACGGCCCTTTTCAGTTTTTTTTTTCATCTTGAAAAAGTAATAAGAATGAGGGGTGTTACGCTTTTTTATCATCCTAAGCGTCGACCTAATTTTCCGTAGGATTCTCTCCTAAGTATCTTCATGGAAGTAGAGCTTGATTTCTTCCTAAGACGGTATTTATATTTTCAATTAAGATGGAATGAATTTTTAAAATGAAAAAATAATGAATAATATAAAGTATATTGTCTCCCTGCTTAGAACCGACAAATCCCATAGAATTTTTATATCTTCTATTCAAAGACCAAGAAAAAAGTATATATTTCTGATGGTTTAGGAGGATTTAACTCTTATTGAATTGAATGAGAAAGGAAATTTTATTATCGAACCCTATTCGTTTGAACTAGAGTTTTGATGTATACCACGCACCTGAATTTTCATACAGTAATTCTATCTCTTACCAAAAAACAAGCCAATTTTATGGATATTATCGGGAAGTTTGTGCAGATCCATGTATAGTTCCTTTTTCACTACACAAGGATCAAGATCAAATGAACGTTCATATCTATTTCTGTCAAAAAGAAGATATATTTTCTAGTCTTTCTGTAGATAAATGATCAAGTTAAACACAAATTCATTAGTTGCGGATTTTTTGGGTAAAAAAGAAAGTAAGAGCTTATTTCTTTAAATTTTAATAATAAATTTGCCAAAAATCAAGATCAAAGTTTAAATTTTAACTCTCTTTATTTTCAGACCAACGAAGAAGAAAAAATAGATTTAAGAAAATCGAAATTCAAAAAAATAAAGCAATTAGAATATAATTCTATGGAATAAAAGAAATAAGTAAACAAAGTTCCTCGATTGGTCTAGCTTCAATTCGGGATTGTCTTTCATTTCAAGCCATAACTTGTATCCCATGTGTAGGGTTTGGCACGTGGTTTGGGTTGAGTGAATTTAAAGTACCCTGATCTATATGTGCAGGTCAACGATTTTTTTTACCCAACCTAATTCATTAATACGTGAATCCGCGATTATAACGGGTTGGGTTAGGTGTGGATTCAATGTAAACCGGCAAAGTCAAAATAAATGATAATAATAAATTATTTTTAAAATAAAATACAAACACTTTAAGAGAATTAGTAAAAAAATTAATTGTATTTAAAATCTTAATTATATAATAATTTTCACAAACCTACAAATATATTTGAATAACAACTATAAAATTAAATTTCTTAAAAACATGTTCATTATATCATCATCATGAATAATCAATAATGAAAAATTAAATTTCCTAATAAAAAAGAACCGAATTAGGAAAATAAAAATACTTAGTAATATAATTATATAATGGGTTTAATTTTAAACTGCAATATTACTCCAAAAGCAAAGATATTATGGTACTAAATCTGATAAAAATTTAGTAATTATATTCAAAATAGCAAAATCAAAAATCAACTAAATAATTCATATTTATTTATAGATTAGGTCCAAGTATGTGGATTTATCTAGTGAACCCGTGATCCAACTCAACCCGTAATTATAAAAAATGATCCTCTAACCAACCCATTATATTTCAACCGCCGGATTGAGTTGGATCGATTGAATCGCTCGAATTGATCGGTTATAACGGTCATGTGCGGTCGCGTTTTTCATACTCCAGCTTAAACCAGCTGCTTCTTTGGGTGGTTAGAGGTAATAAACTAAATATTTGGAGTTAATTTCTACCTTGGAATCGAACTTGTCGTCAGTTTATTAATTTGAAGTTGAATGTACATTCTGCGGGCAATGTAAAAATAATTCTACTGATGTTTTTTTTCCCCAGTTATTGTTATTCAGGGAGATTTACCATGGGGTATTTTTACGTGTGGTTGGACATCGGCTTAGCCTCAAAGCCAGGTTGACTTCTGGTTTGGGTTGTGAGTCGTGACAGCAATTCTACTTTAATACTCCTTCCCATTCAAAAAAAATAGTTCATTTTCCTATTTTTATACCGATTAAAAAATAATAATAATCATGATTAAATAATAATTTTATTTATGATAATTTATACATGCTCAAACTTAAATGTCACTTCAGCCCTTTTTTATACCTCCTGAATAGAATAAAAAAAAAAAAATCTTTAACATACATAAAACAATACCAAAGTTAGATATTATTTCTTTCTCCATGCCCAAAAAGAATAGTAATCTTTTCTTTTTTGGTTTATCCCAAAAATATAGTTACTGTCCTTTATTAATATCATAGTTGTTGTTAATCTTAAATTGTCTATTTTACTTTTATTAATCTTATTTTTAATAATTTCTATTTATTATTTCAATATAATAATTGCTCAATGTGTCATTTAAGTTGAAGCATAGTATAAATTATATAAATAATATTATTTAATCATGATTATTATTATTTTTAATCTGTATAAAAAATAGAAAATGAACTTATTTTTTTGAATGGGAAGGAAGTATTAAAAGTAAGAATGCTGTCACGACTCACAACCCAACACAGAAGTCTATCCTGGCTTGAGGCTTAGCGATGTCCATACTGCACACGTAAAAAATAACCATGGTAATCTCCCTGAATATCAAATAACTGGGAAAAAATCATGTAGAATTATTTTACATGCGCCGCAGAAATGTAACATCAACTTCAAATATAAACTGGACGACAAGTTCGATCCAAGTAGAAATTAACTCAAAATTTATTTATATACCTCTAACACACAAGAAGCAGCTGGTTAAGCTGAGTATGAAACGGACCGCACATGAACCCGTTATAACCGATCCAATTCGAAGCGATTCAATCCGATCCAACTCAATCGGCGGGTTTGAAAAATATAATGGGTTTGGGTTAGAGATCATTTTTATAATTTTACGGGTTTGAGTTGGATCACGGGTTTTCACTAAAGATAAATCGCACATACTTGACCTAATCTATAAATAATTATGAATTATTTAGTTGATTTGATTTGCTATTTGAATATAAATACTAAATTATTTACAAGATTTAGTACATAATATCTTTTGCTTTTGAGTATATTGCAGTTTAATTAAACCCATTTATAAATTATATTACTAAGTATTTTTTATTTTTCCTAATCGTTCTTTTTTATTAGTGAAATTTAATTTTCAATTATGTTGATTATGATCATGATGACTGATAATAATAGAACATTTCGTTAAGAAATTTAATTTTAATATTGTCCATTCAAATATATTTGTAGTTTGTGAAAAATTAATTATATAATTAAGAATTTTAAAATAAATTTAATTTTTTTTACTATTCTCTAAAGTGTTTTGTATTTTATTTAAAAATAATTTATTAATTATCAATTTATTTGACTTGCCGGTTTACATTGAATCCACACCTAACCAAACCCGTTTATAATCTGCGGTTCACGTAATTTAATGATTAGGTTGGGTAAAAAAAATCGTTGACCCTGCACATATAGATCAGGTAACTTTAAATCACTCCAACCCACACGTGCAACCCTACAACATGGATACAAGTTAGGCTTGAATGAAAGACCAATCCGTAATGAAGCTAGAAGCGCATCGAGGAACTTGTTTACTTATTTCTTTTTATTCCAATAGAAATTATTTTCTAATTGCTTTATTTTTTGAAATTTGACGAATTTTCTAAATCTATTTTTCTTCTTCGTGGTTGAAAATAAAGAGAGTTAAAATTTAAACTTGAATCTTGATTTTTGGCAAATTTATTAAATTAAATTTAAGAAAATAAAGCTCTTCTTTCTTTTTAACCAAAAATGCCGAACTAATGAATTTGTGTTTAAACTTGATCATTATCTACAGAAAAGACTAGAAAAATATATTCTTCTTTTGACAGAAATAGAATGAACGTTCATGTTGATCTTGATCCTTGTGTAGTGAAAGTTCATTTGATCTTGATCCTTGTGTAGTGAAAAAGGAACTATACTGGATCTGCACAAACTTCCCGATAATATCCATAAATGGCTTGTTTTTGGTAAGAGATAGACATTACTGTATGAAAATTCAGGTGCGTGGTATACATCAAAACTCTAGTTCAAACGAATAGGTTCGATAATAAATATTTCCTTTCTCATCAATTCAATAAGAGTTAAATCCCTCTAAACCATCAGAATATTTAGACTTTTTTTCTTGTCTTTGAATAGAAGATATAAAAATTCTCATGGATTTGTCGGTCTAAGCAGGAGACAATATACTTTGATATTATTCATTATTTTTTCATTTAAAAAATCATTCCATCTTAATTGAAAATATAAATACCGTCTTAGGAAGAAATCAAGCTCTACTTCCAGTGAAGATACTGTAGGAGAGATCCTACGGAAAATTAGGTCGACGCTAGGATGATAAAAAGCGTAACACCCCTCATTCTTATTACTTTTTCAATATGAAAAAAAAAACTGAAAAGGCCGTCTTATTCAAAACCCCAATTATGAAATCCCTTTTCTCTCACTTCACACCTCGCCTTTCGCCTTTCTAGAAGGGAGGATTAGGAAAATCCTATTGATTGCAGCTTTCTCCAGACCTCCAAGAAAAGCATGAAAAAAAAGGCTCGAATGGTACGATCCCTCCGTTGTCCCAGAATGAAAGGGGCGATCTCGGCTCTTGTCTTAGTTAAGAGGAGTCATGGAAAGAACAGGTTCAAAATCACGATCGATTCCTTTTCAAATCCTACTGCGACTGCACGAGCCCCTTCCGTGTGCCATAAATAACCTATGAATAGGAAGAACCCCTAGAACAAAATGAGAGGTAGCTAACCAACTATTAGGAGAGACATAATTGACTACATTGATCTTGGTAGCTACGCCACCTACAGAATTCAACGAACCTAAAGGCGCATAGATCATATATTCTGCGAAACGGCGTTTTGCCAAGGTTGTATGTCTTTTTTCAACCTACTCAAGTCCAAACCATTTGGACCTCTTTGGACCATTTGGACCTCTTAGAGGTTCTAACCAAGAAGCACGTAGATCCCAAAAATGCATAGTTTCTCCTCCAAAAGTAACTTCTCCAGTAGGCGAACGCATTAAATATTTACCTAACAGGGTAGGCCCTTGAGTCGACATCGAGGTGCCAGAACTTCCCATCGATGTGAGCTCTTAGGAAAGATCAGCTTGTTATCCCTAGAGTAACTTGTATCCATTAAGCGACGTGGAGTGCTGCACTTTAGATGGTGAGAGTCCTGTAACTGAAAGCATCACTAGCTTATGCTTTGACACAAGTAGCATGGGGCGAAGGATACAACGTAAATCAGATTGATTTTTCAATCCAAAGGAGTTACTACTTGGGTCTTTTAACTAACAAGCATCACTCCGAAATCTTAGTGCCCGCTTTCCAATTCTACTGATTAATGATGATTTGGTTGATCTAAGTTAATGTAATTTATTATTTATTAAAATTTGAAATTTTGTTTGATCAATCGTTGAATTGAATAAAATGACTGAAATGGACATCTTGAAAGTGAATCGTATTCCATGAATATGATATCTATCTAGTGCGATGTATAAAATATATGACAAAGGTAGAGTGTTGGAGTATTTGATGGACGAATGGGCCTATGAGTCATTAGCTCATTCTTCAACAGGCACACGGTAAGAGCCCTAGGCTCCTCCCATTGATTGGGAGCTTACGGTTTCATGTTCTATTTCACTCTGCGATAGTGGTTCTTTTCACAATTCTCGAGATTCATTTGATTCGAACCTTCGGGGCAGTAGAATCAATTAGAAGGTAAATCCCTCGGTTATTGATAGACTGAGGCTTGCGCTTCTTTTGTTGAAGTAAGCACAAATGGTCTAATTTGTGATATAAGAATCAACCTTGCAAAATCTCATATTTCATATATCAGTAGAAAAAGGAATATATATCAGTAGAAAAAGGAATGATCCGTCAAATTCAAGATCGATCTCTAATAATGAGTCAAATTGAACCAATATTAATCCATTTTATCCCATTTATTCCAAGACAAGCGACCCAAATCTTTTTTTTTGTTTTACGCCCCCTAACTCTTCCTCAGCCAGGCTTGGGCAAAATAGCAGAGCAAATACAAGTATTAGTAGCCTTTTCTGATGGTATGCCTATAGGAATCTCCAGTACTTTCAACTTTATGATTGTATTCCAAGCTGAGCAGAACATCCTTATGCACCCATTTTACATGTTAGGCAAATCGATGTTTTTTTTTTTTTTTTTTTTTTTTTTGAAGAGAATCGATGAGTTTATTTTTTTTTTTTTTTTTTTTTTGAAAGAGAATCGATGAGTTTAATATTCAAAAATTTATTCTTAGAACATATTGATTTAACCCCATAGCATGTTGCCGCCAGAAACAAACCCCACATTTCTTCTAGAAAATCACCTAATTGCTCTAGAGCAACTAGAAAGAGAATCTTTAACCATAAAGAATCTCACTTGATGGAAGAAATGATCAAGTAGTACTCCCCATGATTTCGATCCAGAGTATGATCTTATGCACTGATTAAAGAAATAACTATCAGAAACGAAATAATCCTTTCATTTTTTTTCTACAACACACTAGAACGCCCTAGTTGACGATCCTTTACTCCGACAGCATTTAGAGTTTCTCAAACAATGTGATATCTCACACCAGGTAAATCCTTAGAAAAAGAGGGATGAGCAGTTTTGAAATGGGAAATTTGTTTTCAATACTGCCTCTACGTACTGGAATTTTAACCCTAATGAGAAATCAGTCCATTAGTATCATTGTCAAATCTCCTAGTCCAGAAAACATACAATTAATTCCACAAAAGAAATCAATTGAAGTGGACAGGAAACTATAATTTTACAACCCAGATAAAGTTCTGCTAGCATTTGCATTTGACGATACAAGTAGCTAGCAACTGCAGGGAAAGAGCAATACAATACATCTAAGGAAGCAAATAGCACATAAAATAATGCACAAGAATCCAAACATATTTACTCTGATTTTCCAGTCTGCAACAATTTTCATTACAACCGTGTCAAGTATCACAATTTCAAAATTCTTGGCTATGGAATGATTTCTATGACTGTACATTCCCAAACTGTATTGATACTTTTCCAACAAAATCATGTCCTAGTGGTGAGTTCATGTATTTGGCACATCCTCTACATTGTCCTTTGAATCATCATCATTCTTTGTGTTGCCTAATTTTCGCCGATTAGCAGCAAGCCGGGGCCTCAGCTACGCAGCATAGTTTCATGTTAAACAAAGTAATGAAAGATTGAAACTATAGCACAGAAGTGCATTTGTGGCCTAAAAACAAAAAGTAGGATCCTAGACCTCAAGGTTGATTTCACATGGCAATAGAGACTATCCTATGATAAAATTCTACTGATTTTTTACCATTATTTGGTTCTATTTCATTTCTCCATGACAAACGATGTGAGTGATAAGACAATCCGATTCTGAGGTTTCACTACCATTCTGACAATTTATTGGACCAAAAAAAAAAAAAAAAGAATTAACAGTGGCTTCACGCTTGCCCATAGAATTAGTCCATATTCAATGTGAATGCGAGCTCTGTACTCACTCTAATGGACACATTTAAGGAATACAATCAACCAGACATCAGCCTCATCCGGCATGTCAGTGCAATCAGACAGCTTTCATAATAGTAAAGACTGAAAGAAGCTCGAATCCAAACATACCATCTCAATATACTTTAGTTGCTTCAGAATTTCATCTGTGTCCAGCTCCTGCAGGAAATACATGGAAAATCAGTCAAACAGTACATTAGTTAAAGAACAAGAGCAATTTCTCTCCAGTGAGCTACTACATATTTATCCAATCAAAGAAATTGACTAACAATGGCAAACTAGTTTTATGTCAGGCTGATGACTTTATCCACTTTGCAACTTTCTTGGAAGGAAAGCAAATATGCCTCCCAACGAACACACGGACACAATATACGCATCCAAGTCAATTCCTTAAACACGGTGGATATTTGTACACGCACACGCACACATAACATACAGGATTTTCAGATATGCCATACTGAACTGCCAAAAATTTGAATTTCCAATATCCAAAAACTATCTGCAGTGGTATAAAAGAATAGGGCAGAGACCATAGCAATTAAAGACCAAAGGCGCACTAAGGCGCAAAAGGTTGCTAGAGCCTAGTTGCTAGCCTCTGGGCAAAGGCGCGAGCCTGAGTGAAGTGAGGCGCATAAATAAATTAAAAAATAATGTAAACACATAAATCTGAAAATTATGTTTTAAGATATAAAAAAATGAAAAAAAAAAAAATAGAAAAACATGGAAAGAAACACACATAAATCAGGAAAAAAAAAAAAAAAAAAAAAAAAATAGAAAAACATGGAAAGAAACACAAAAAAAAAAAAAAAAAAAAAAGCAACATGACAAGTTATATTTTAAGATATTAGAGTTAAGATAGAAAACTGTAGAATCGAGAAAATGGGGAAAAAAAAAATTAAAAGCAAGTATAGGAAGAGAAAATGAGAAAGGCATATCTGAATGGCTATTGGAAAAAAACTAGATTGCAAGAGGTGAGTGCTAGATGAAGGAGTGGAGGCTAGATCACAAAAGCTAAGTGACTACTTCAGAAAAACAAAAAAATAGAAAGGAGCGCCTTTCTTGAGCCTTAGGTGCAAAAAAGGCGCATAAAAGCGCACGCCTCTGCCTGGAGGCGATAGCCTGAGTGAAGTGACCCGCCTGAGGACTGTTGAGGCGCAAGCCCTTGAGCCTTAAGTAAGGCACGCCTCTGAGACACAGATCGTTCTAGTCGAAGCAACTAAAGAAGTACGTCATGGGCAAAATATTAGCCATTGTTTAGATATATGGCATTAGAAATTATACATAACATAAAAAAAAAGATGGATTTATTTGACAGCCATTTACCTCAACAGCAGACTTTTGGGATGTGTATGTGTAAGAGAATTGAAATGCACTTACAAAACAAAGCATGGAACTTGTAGAAACCAAACCTTGGTTGAATTTGAAAACACAAGTTGAAACTAAAATAATGCAATCAGAACTTTTGGGTTCAACATAGCAACTAAAATCTGATGTGAGAAGTGCCCAATGCTTTTTAATTTGGTCAACTGTATAATTTTCCACCAGCAAACTGAGATTTTCCCACAACCAAATAGAACAAAGTACAAGAATTTGATTGCTGATATTCATGTTCACTGTTCTACCATTTCAGTCCCTGGGGATCATACCTGTATATACCTGGGGATCATACCTGTATATATATATAGTATAATATATATATATATATATATATATATATATAATATAACATCAATTGAGCCTTGTCTAAGTTCATAATCAAAATCAATTACAAAGGAACCTTAAAGGAATGTTATTTAAGATATAATATATATATAACATCATTGATCTTGTCTAAGTTCATAATCAAAAATCAATTACAAAGGAACCTTAAAGGAATGTATTTAAATATAAATCTAGGAATGCAATTCTCATAACAATTGAAGCATCTAGACTTTTAATATACCTATGAGCTTTTAATATATAGAAGGCCACAAATCCAACGATGGAAAGCTGAACAAACATCAACAGTCAAAAACTTAATTCACCTGAGGTACAGCACAATCAGCATGAATTGGGTCCCAAAGGACAGAGCAAAAGCACTCCCAGTCATCAGTTTGGACTTCAAATAGAGGAGCCCTGTTATATCAAAAGAGAAATAAATGTTCTTGTCCATTATTAACAACAAACACAAATGCAAATGCAAGATCAATTCATGCATGCTTACGTGCATGCAGACATGCACAAGTTAAAACAATGGAAAAGCAAGGAAAAGGAGAGCAATATCCCACACATGCATGGAATAAGAACTGCAATTTATACATTAGATAGGAAATAAAACAAGTGCAGAAAACAACTCATCTTTACTTCTCTGGACTTTCTTATTATAATTCAGAAGGTGATTTCTAGTTGACTTCAATTGAATGTTGAGCCTCAATTCAAATTTATCAAATAATATCCCTGTATTGAGAAATTCCATAATCATATGCTTAGTAATTTAAAGTTCACTAATTTATAAATACTACAGTGTCAACTGTAGTACACTGTCTTGCAATTTTTTAAGCCTAGAAAGCATTTTCTAGGGGTATTTTCCCAGTTAAACCACATTAATTAATGATGAGTTCTAAAGCTTTGCGGATCTTCAGGTCAATGTTAGGAGGCATTATAATGAACAGACAAGATGGCAAGCAATTCAAGGGGACAAAGATAACCAAATTTGATGCTAGTCTTCCACTAGAGAATGATCAAGCGACTTTAAGAAATGTGATTCTGCCAGTGGGAAAGATTCTGACGGCAAGTGTGCACCCATTAAGAGGACAGAAGCCTCATCCAAGCAGACCTTCCTTTGAGTTATCCAAGAACCATGAAGGGAATCAGCACTTTTGTTACCGTCTCACTTTAAGCTGAGGGAAACAATTCTCATTTTGCCAAGAACAAAGGCAGACTACATTAATCCTGCGATAAACCCCCTAAAAATTCAAAATAATAGGCTTAGATAAGTTCAAGACGCCAGATACACTACCAGTTCTATTCTAATGTAATGACACATAATTCCTGACATGCTACAACATCACCAGGGTCGGCAGGCCTACCATTACTGATTAAAAACATTCTTGTCGGAAGTTCGCATAGACAATCACAAAAAGGGTTTAGTTCCAAGGGCATGGACGGATGTATCCATATTCACTTGCAAGAAGTAACAGAGTCCAAGTGATGTTGAATAGAGATATGACCCTGGTAAAGAGTTTACTGAAAGTCAGCAAGATTTTCTCTTCTCAAATCCAGCAGTAAGTCTCTAATAACAAAATAGAACTTCTTTCCTCAAGGTAGTGCTTAAAAGTAATCAGTTATGTGACTTGGTCTGAAAGGAATAGGATACACCAGCAAACATTGTGGTCTCAGCTTCTCTCTAACCTCTGTGCTTCCAATCACATAGAACGTATATTGTCAAGTAATTTTGAAATATGTGGTTCCAAGTCCGTCATGATTTCTGTTCCCCTGTACCTTAAAGGGACTCCAATATCAGCAATTTCAGATTAGATATGCTTATTTGATTCTTCAGTTTATCGTGATATCTGTTCATACCAATAGAAGTGCAAAATACTTGATTGGTGTGGAGAAATTGAATCTTGAAAAAAGCACAAAAACAGAGCATAATGCTTTACATGCTTCACCCTTAACAGAACAACATCCACGGGGCTAAAGACCACCAATGATTTAGTATAATGACAGATATACAAATATAATAGATCAGCTCAAAACTATTAATATCCACCAGAAACGAAAGTCAAAATACTCTCAAGCCGGTTCAAAAAGAAAAAATCTCAAGCTAAAGGGACATTAGAGTGAGAGGAAATTATATTCGCCTACCTGCAGCAAAAATGCTAAATTTAACAAAATACTCTCTTACACATAAAGAAACTTCCAAATCCATTGGGCTAAAACCAATATATCCTACAATTGAATTCTATTTATAGAGAAAACCGTTACTTGTTTGCTAAATCAAAACGAAATAGCAAATATATCTATGAATTAGGAATCCTAAAACAAATGAAAATTAGAGATGAACCCTAACAAATCTCCACTTTGGATTGAATTCCACCAAATAGTAAATCATCTTCTCCAATTTGCTGCTTAGATCTGCAGAACTTAAAATTTATTGACTACCACTTGCAAATTTCAAATTTTCTCAAATCAGAAAGTGTCTGAACCATAAGCTCTAATTACGACTTGTTAGCATCAAAGGAAGAGCCAAAACTAAATCATGAACAAGCACAATTAACATAACACAATAATTTGCATGATTCACCATTAATAAGGCTACATGCACAGGGCTATAAACGACCGCAAGCTAATAAAACTATCAAAGATCCAAAAATGATGAATCATTCCCAAAGTACTAGCATCCACTGCAAAAGAATACAAAATGTCACGTCAAAATACCTTCAATTAAATGGACAACAGAAAAACAGTGAAGTGTTATAGTTGCCTGCCTACAAGCTAAAACACAAATCTCTCAACACAAACTCTCTCTCCAAGAAGGAATTGCCAAAGCCATTGGATTAAAGAAACAAATACCTTGGATCTTATATTTAAAAAAAACCAATAAAAATTTACAAAATAAATACCTTTTTTTGTTTTCTTTTTTTCCTATTATTCTAATCCTTTTCTAAGAGTCTCAATCTTTTCCTTTTTTCCTTTAGAAAAAAGGCGAAAAAAAAATTGAAACAATACACCAGTTCTAAATTGGGAAGTTTGGATCTGAAGGAATTTGACTTGAGCAAAAGCTGACTGAGTTGGATTTACAAAATCAAAAATTAATTGACATCAAAAACTATAAAATGTGAAAAAAAAAAAAAAAATCTTATTCTTAGATTGCATTTGATAGCAAATAAATATTTGGCAACGAAGAGATCTTAAAGCAAATCAATTAAGAACCTAGAAGAGAGAAAGTTTGCTTCATCAGCCTATAAAGTGAAGTTAGAAGATAGGAATTTTTCAGAGAATTATAATTATATGGGTATTTTGGCCATCTCGCATCCCATTAATGGGTAAAGAACTGTTTAGCTCAGGATCTAGAGGTACTACTTTTCAAACAGTACAGAACAAAATATATAATAAGGCAGACCTCAAGGGCTGTTGAAGAATAATTTATGAGAAATGTTTTTGAGTTCGAGCCATGCCATGAGAAGTGGACTTATGTTGAGTAGGCATTAAATTGTGATGTTGAAGTGGCTGACAATCTACAAACATAAGCCCATGTTTCCAAATGACAAACTTTTGCAAACTTATAGAGATGGAAAGGAGTTCAAAGGTGTTAGAGAACTTTAGTTGGGCATAAATTAACAATCACTTATTCATTTTGCCTTGCCATGTATTATGAATTCAATCATAAATCGACATAGGTTAAATACTGCATGAAATTATTCTTACATTTTGGATTTAATTGCTACTAATCATGAAATATGGCATGAAATTAATAAAATTAGAAGAATACAGTAATTGAAATTTTGCACAAAATTCAAGATTTTTAGATGCAATAGCCCTAAAATTACAATCACATTCAAAATTGTAAGTATTATAAGTTTTCCATGTGATTAATTTTGTTCAAAACTCAACATTTTCCAGAAAGATTATACAACCAAAGTATGCTACAATTGTACACATTTCTCTAGTATTTAGATTTTTGTGCTGCACATTAGAGGTCTTTTGAGTAAAACCCCAAAGGCTCTTATCGTGCAAGAGTCTTAGACAACCAGTCAGAGATTTCAGGTTCAACATTCTAACAAGCATAATTTGAAATTTCATTAGGTTTCTGATTGGATGCACATTTAATACAAACCACAGGCACAATCACCCAAAAGAAAATCATTATTAATTTACCTGCGCCACTTTCCACATATAGTTGCACCAGTACTTTCTCCTGTAGCATCCATAACCTCTCTACATTGGAGCCAATTGCCAATAGAGCCAAGTTTTGGCTTGTTGGACTTCCTCTTCTAGGTCAATACATGTGTGATCTGTCAGTCCTTCCTAAAATCTACAAGCCTATGTAAATAGAGAACATAAGGAAAAACACAATAGCAAACAAAATTTGCAGCCATACTTACAGTCAAGCAAACAAAATCCAATGGATTCACTTCCAAAGCCTCAGCAACTGTGTCTACATCTCTAAATGAAAATTAAAAGAACAAGTCAAAACAAGGCAAAAGAATAGATGTAAAAGTGATAACCAAAACAAGATCAAAGATTAGATGAAAAACTTTTATACACGATCAACCTATCACACACAGATATGTAGTGGGACCTTCCTTTTGTAAAGCACCAAAGCAAGCCACCAACATATGACAATATGAAAATAAATACTAAAAATCCTTTAATTTGAGACATAGTAACATCGTTGAGAAAAACTCAGAGTCACAAAGGTTGTAAATTTAATAACCACAAAAGCTTTCTCATGATTATTTGTCCTCAACCATGTGTTATATGTAAAGAAACAAGGCTTAAACGTTTTTCCCCCCGCCAACCAATCATCCTTAATCCCTCTTCATTGCAAGGATCCTGGGGTTTTAATAATTTAACGTCCGAAAAGCCAAAAGATGGCAACAGGAACAATAATTAAGCTTAAGCACAAGCCAGCAAGGATCGGCTACATTAATCATTTGCTTCCATTCCTTGCTCATAGCTAGTTCACACTAATGCCAAGAAGTAGTAATTTTTTTAGATAACTTCCCTCAAAGTGGTTTTAGGTATACCTCTTCACCTTTTAACACAATCCATCATCAAAGTCTCACACTTGCGAACCAGGGCACATCAAGAACTATATAGGAACTAATCCAGTTCAGATTTCCTTCTTTCATTTTATCTCCAACACGTGCTACTTGCACATTGTTGTCGGATATCAAATCTTATCAATATTCTATGGCCATACATCTATATCAACATTCACATTTCTGCAACATTTGCCTTGTATGTTGGACATTAGTAGCCCAATGTTGTCCCATGTAATATCACTTTAGATTACCTTGAGAAGCTCCATGAAACATTAATTTTCCACGTGACTTTGCCTTAGTCTTAAGACAATTAGCAGCTAGCATACATAACCAAGATTACTTCAAACATCCTTCTGAAGGGTTTGACCTAAAAGTTTCCATTCACTTTTAATAATTTTTATTTCCATTAGTATATGATTTATAAAGAATAATAAAACATTCATAGTACAAGCTGAGCCCAGCTCAAACCTGCCAGGCTCGAAGCTCAGGTCGACAAAAATTGGGCTCAGCTTGAAATTTGACAAGTCGGAAAATTTTAGACTCGAGCTCGATTTGAGGCTCAAGTTTAATTCGACAAATTTTGAGCTCAAGCTCGGCAAGAGGCTCAAATAAGTTTAAAATAAATATTATATATGTATATATAAAAGCTCGATTTGAGCCGAACTTTTCAAACTTTTTTTGAGCGGAGCTCGAACATCTTGTGAGCCAACTCAGCTTATTTACACCCCTACTTACCAGAGATCAGTTTACACATGAAACACAATGCGTTTACTTATGACTTGAACTCTACCCAAAGAATCTCCATTTCTATTTTCCATTGTAAAATCAAAAGAAAAGGATTGCATTGTCCCACCATAAGCTCCTGTTACATTTAATAGTCTCACGTTCTTCATTCCTTCTAACTAGCTTTATTCTATCTCAACTAGCATCATTTGATTTTTTTTTTTTTTTTTTTTTTTTTTTCCTTCTTGACTGTGCTGGGACTTAAAAGTCTAAAAGTGTGCAAGGAATCAAAGATGGGAAGTATGACCTAAGAATGCTAGTGCGTAGAATTAGCAAGGGAGAAAGAGAAATGGGGGCATTCCTGCCTTCTAAACGTCTTAGTCCTAGGAATCAGCCAAGAAACATAGTAAAAGTAGTGAGCCGAAATGTGGCAATCTGGCTGACTCATTAATACAGAATCTTTCAAGACATCTATGTTCGACTAAAAAACCGTTTGGCAGGTTGCAGTTTCAAACTGCTCTTTTGGAGAAGAGTCACTTTTTTCTAGATGCTTTTTTTGCGTAAAAAGTACTTGATAAATACTTTCTGAAATGGCTTTTTTTTTGTACAACATTCAAAGAATGCACCTTAAGTAATAAACTAATCGAGGTTGCTTCGATTTTTTTTTTTTTTTTTTTTTCCTTCTTACTGTGCTGGGACTTAAAAGTCTAAAATGTGAAGAATCAAAAGATGGGAAAGATGAGCCTAAGAATCTAGTAGTAAATTAGCAAGGAGAAAGAAAAATGGGGATCTCCTCCTCTAAACTCTTATCCTAGGAATCAGCAAAAACATAGAAAAGTAGTAGCCAAATTGGCATCTGCTGACTCATTAATACAGAATCTCAAACATCTATTTCACTAAAAACCGTTTGGCATTGCATTCAAACTGCTTTTTGGAAAAGTACTTTTCTAGATGCTTTTGCTAAAAAGTACTTGAAAACTACTTCTAAATGCTTTTTATTTGTACAACATTCAAAAATGCACCTTAAGAATAACTAATAGGTTGCTTTCAATTAAAATACTAGAAGGATGTGTTTATCAATAGCAGCAGCAACAATGCCAAACAGACCACAATAACTTGATGCCCAATAGAGTTCATAATCCATCGATTATCATTGAGTTATTGGTCTGCAGTCCTGACCCATAACATAGTTTATAGTACACAAAACGCAATGGAGAAGATATGCACACAAATCTCACAGAGAATGCCAACAGGATTATTAAGCCCTTACTTGAGCACAAAACTGGAAGAAATGACAATTAACCACTATGTAATATGACCATCATGAACCTCAAAATATTTTTCAACTTCTGATTCTTGATAACTTCCCATTATTCTGAGAAAACCATCAGCACAAGGTTTATCACCATTCAAAGTAAAGAATAAGTTTTCTCTCCCTCTAAAAGATGACTAAAGAGCATTAACAAATAACTACTTATTATCTCACCTGAGCGGATCCCATTACAAGCCACGAACATAAGCGTTGTTGAACATAATTAACCTAACAGAGTTTCCAAAAGGAAAAGTATGTGGACAAAAGTACCAGGTTTTATGAACGTCGATGCATTTTACCTGCAGAATAACAACACATTTCTCTACTGATGTGCTTCAACCGTTCATGCTCTTAATTTTCGCCAAACTCTCTTCCATAAAGGAAAAAGGGAAAAAAAAAAGGCCTTACCATAAAATTTAAGTGCCTAGGGATTGGATATAGCTTCTTTTAGAAGACAACAATATTAGTCAAATATTTGTACAATAAGAAATTGGGACCAAATCTCATAATCAATTTACGACTCTTTGCAAGATGAACAAACCCAAGAATCTATGTTCAAGACGAATGAATCAATATATCATGTTCATTCAAATGTTATTCCACTACTCAAAGATGACCTTCATGGATAAGTGTAAGATACAACTGTCTATAGCATAATTTAAAGTTACCTATTCCTTAATAGCATTTGCTGGAAAGTGAAAATATGGAGATTATCAAAAGCACATACTTGGTGATTGGACCAGACCAATCTGGAACCTCTGCTTGAAAACCTTTGCCAATTCGAACACCAGATGCATAAGACCCAGCGTCTCTTAACATCAATGCAATAGGATTTAATTCATTTATAGAAGAACTTCGACATCTGCCCTTTTCACCAATCATATTAGGATATGTTCTGCAAATTTTCTCCTTAAGAATTTTGCTGCGCTTCTTTGAACACGAATGACAAAACCACTCATCAAGTGGTATTCTTTTTACACGAGGATTGCAGCAAGATAAATGAAATGCCTCTTCACAGTTATCACAAATTAGCATTTTAAGTGTAGATTCTGCATTCGAACAAACTTTGCATACCCAAGAACTGCTAACAGTGGTACTATCACCAACATCTTCAGTAGAAGTACGACTCCTGCTTGGCCAAGCTTCTTTAATCACTCCCTGGCTTCTAATTATAGAGACAGATAAATCCTTTTCTGAACCATCTTCCCCTGAGGCCTCTACAATCATTGCACTGGATGACGAGCATTCACCAGTTTCATCTACTTCAGTCTGCATGGAAGCTGAAACAAGTTCCATACCTGACATTGATGATGAGCAACTGTCATTTATACTGTTAACCTCAATGATTTTCTGGCCTCTAATTTTGGAAGCTTCATCAAAACCCCGTTCTTCTATGAGTAAACATCCATTAATGGATTCTGATTTGAAAAGATGAGAGGCCCCTTGCAATATTATATAAGGCATGACAGGGGCTCCAACGGTATGCTCACCTTGAGAAAGTATTTGTTGCTCCTTAAATGCAATAGAAGGGGCATCAGAACTAATGGCAGAGACACTATCCTCTCCACTCCTCTTCATGCATGCAGGGGATCGTGCTGAGCAAATGCCAACAGAATTTCCTTGGAGCTTCCTTCGGCTGTATACAAAATTAGGAGCAGATTTTCCCTGTAGCTTCCTTCGCCTATATACAAGATTAGGTTTAGAACTTTCAGACATTGCAGAGGGGTTTGAGAGGTGAGAACTCTTCGAAAAACTCAATGGGTATGAGCAATCATCTTTTTTTTTTTCCTCAGTGATTGATGCGACATCTAAGGAGGCAATGTGAGAACATTCATGGCAATTTTTACACATCTGGAAAATTTCAGTAGAAGACATCCAATCACAAATAAAATCCTTTTTCCAATCAGATATACAAAACAAAGCAGCTTCAATTGGACTATACCAACATCTTCACCTGAAAGAAGTCTGCAATAACATGCAGGATTGTTACCAAACCGTTCAACTCCATTTATTCAATTCATATGCTCATAACATAAACAAGATAATGTATATGCACATAACATAAAATTTAATGTCTGTTTCCTGCCTGGACAATTATGATCATTTTGACAAGAAGATAACAAAAGAAATTTGAACATCATTTTGTTTCTAAGATAACAAAAAACAATCCTCAGCCGAAACATAAATGAAAATTAATCACATAATCATGCGCAAATAACATAGCATAATCCTTAAACAATAAGTAATCGACAACACTCAAATTTTCAAGGTTTATAGTTTCCATTGATCCAGAAAGACAGTTAGCATAAAAACTGATGCATATTTCTTCCTTATTTCTGCCCTAAAATTTATGCTTTTAAATATCTGCATGATTAAATAAATAACAAAATTGGGGATAAAGACACAATACCGGTCATTTGGATGCCCCTATTTCGAAATCGCAGACCACCATTGGTCTTCCAGTCAAAGAATGACAAGAAAGGCAGACTGGACGAAAAATAACCTGTTGTTTATTTTTCTCTTCTACTATTTTCTTTGAAGCCCTAAACAAGAAGAAGAGGAAGAAAAGGAAAATGAGAGACAAGAGTAGTTCGGTTAAAACAAAAAGAAGAACAGCACAATGTGTTATTTATTGTTTAATAAGAAGTACGAGATACGTTCCAAGATTTGATTACAGTGGTATTTTCAAACTCTTCAATTTTCTTTTTTTCTTTTTTCCTTTTTTGTTTTCCAATTATAAAAATAATAGCATAAAAGAAAATGTGAGTAAATATAAAGCAAATATTATTATATGAATCTCAAAAATGTAAAAGATTGAGTTAAAAAAAACTCTTATTTCTAGATCATAAAATTCACCTCAAGAGATATATTATTCGATGAGATAATAAATAAAAATACCGAAAAGATAGAAAGATTCATTGAGAAATTGGATGGATATCATGTATGGATTTATAACACTTCCTTAACTGTTCATTTGCACAAAGAATATGCTTCATTAAGAATTTATTAAAAAAATTCAATGAAAAAATCCTAGCGAAGAACAAAGCACAAATATTCTTTTATGTATAAGAATAATATTCTTTTATGTATAAGAATTTAACTCCCCGGTGAATATCCACTTTGAAAATTTTAAGCGATGTATTCCAATGTCATACATTTTTTTTTTTTTTTTTAAATGTTGCAATCTATGGAGACTTAATGAACAAATCTATCATATGAAGACCATATGAACAATCTCATACACTATTTATTGCACATCATTATCACCATTCATATGAAGACCATATGTGAAGAAGAACTTTTGTAAAATATATTGCGTTTTATCTTCCATAACGAATCCCCTGTAAACTACTTTATCTTTATGTAATAATATGGATATGTTATTATAAGATAAGTCGTACTTTTCTCGAATAAAATGAGTTAAGCGCATGAATAACTATTGTTTCTACATGATTGAGGAAGCAGCAACTATATATTATTTTGTAGATCTTCATGATATTATTGTACCATCATAAATGAATAAATAGCTTTTGAGGTATTACTTTGTGTGCATCGGGTAAATACCCTACATGTAAATAACCAACTAAACTTGTGTTAGATTCATAAGAATAAAATAAATCCATATCAATTGTTTCTTTTAAATACTGTGACATGTGTTTGACCCATTTCAATGTCTTTGAGTAGGATTTTTAAACTTTATCTTGCGAGCATAGTAACAGAAAATGTTATATCTATTCATGTAGTAGTGGCAAGATACATAGTGCACCAATTATACTAAATTATGGCAGTTATGACCAAGGAGTATTTCATTAGCTTCTAGAGGCCAAGACGGTCTTTAGTCATATCAAATAATGGAACAACTTTAGAGTACTGAATGTTAGTAATAGTGTATGACCTAAATCCTTACCAAAAATATGCAATGTTCATTTTTAATGCAATTTGTATTTTTTTTTTTTTTTTACATAAATGGTTTATCTAATTGAATATAAGTCCATTAGCACTTTGGTAGGAAAATCTATTTACAAGATTTGTGAATATGAATTATAGACTTTCTTATACAAATGCTACAAAACTGTTCATGGTTGTAAGGCAATTTGCTGGGTGTCAATTTCTAGAAGACCATCATATCTGTTTATTCTCCACAGTTAGTATGTGACACTAATGATGTGGATGTAGTGAGTCTCATGATACTAGATTGAGAATTAGAACAAAACGTGGGTACTCATGGACTGAGTGAGTCGAACATGTGATACTGGAAAATGATTATATGGAGTTTTACTACTTGCCAATAAGTTATTATCCAAGCATAGTTGTTCCAATCCTTAGACCTAAGGTGAATCTTATCTCGCATATAGGTGGTTAGGATTTGGTACTGGTTTCATACATGTATTATGTATGTGCATATGGACATGTATTGGTCCTATTCAAATTGTATGTAGGAGGTAAGTGATCAGCCAATAGGGGATTCATACCCTGAAGAAATAGGGATAAGATCTTATGATATCTAGTCATTTCTAATGTGGAAAGAAACATAGTTAAAAGGATTCTGTAAAAAAAGGATTTTCTAGTAGAAGTCCAATTATATCAAGAGTTTGGAATCGAGATGATCTCATAGTATCTAAGCTGATAGGTTTAACCATGATCCTAGTTAGATCAGATCTTAGATAAAGGGATTAGGTTATACAATAATATGATATATGGTTATATTGAATACAGTGTTATTCATATTTAATTAGATAATTATGACATGTTATGCTAGGCATAACCCATGGTTTTGTAGAACTAAATGAGAATTGAGACAATCCTTTAGTGAGAATTGGTTTCTAATAATATCAAATGAGTTGATATTATATTCCACTACTACTTAGTTATGGATCTAGTAAGTGACACACACCTAATTAACCTCGCCAAACAAGCACTTACCTTGTGTTGATTATTAATTAAAGAGTTTAATTAAATAATAAAAATAATTGAATTAGAATTGTAAAGGTATTTACAAGGTCCCTACAATGTCCTTATGTCAAATTCAAGATGAGAGTTTGCAATTTAGTTGAATTTGTATGGGATGCAAATAGAAGGATTCAAATGAATTATTATTTGTACTCTCTTGGACTTGATTAGAAGATATGACTCATTGTTTTAGTCATGACTAATTAAGAGAAAGATTGTAGTTAATTCTATCTAGTTTTCCTAAAAGTTAGTTTTTCAGCACGCTTCAAGAGGTAATGCTTGAACCCTTTCTCCTCCATCTTTGCACATGTATTTTATGAATTATTTGAATGATCAATACTTGAAAATATGAGATATAAATGAATATTTGTATATGTGTGAATTAATTACACTAGGTTAGAGGCAAAGGAAAAATTTTAAGTGTTAATTATTCTAGGATTCGTCTAGACCTTTTTTTGCTTCCGATGTCCGTAAGTTATCCTCAATCTTCACGCAATAGGTGTGCTTTATCCATATAAGTTTCAAAATCTTTTCTGAATAAGCATATTCATAAACAAAAATTCCTTTCAATAAATGTTCAATTTGTAGTACAATACAAATTTTTGTCTTTCCAAGATCTCTGGTTTCAAATTCATTCTTCAAATAATCCATTGTCTTTTGGAGCTCTACTAGAGTTCTAAAGAGATTTATATATCATCAACATATACAAAAATAATAACAAACTCAGATGTTGATTTCTCTATGAAAACACATGGACAAATTGGTTCATTTACATAGCCTTTTTCATTAAATATGCACAAGGTAGTTATATTGTATGTGCGTAACATCCCCTTTCCGCTCACAAAAAACCAGACAAGAGATGTCACATTCTGTGCTAAAGGCACTTATTAACTTACTTGCTTATTAATTAACTATTTACTTATGCTTTATTATAAAATAGTTGAGTTACAAAATCATAGTTAAAAGCGAAAGGCCCATCAAATAGACTTACAAAAATGTTTTAGGAAAATCTTAGAAAAAAACTGCAAGAGTTTTCCCAAAAAACTAGAGTTAACAAAACTTATCAAAAACCTCAAAACATTAACCATCACTTAGTGTGATGTTTCCATCATTTATTTAAAAGGTAAAATCCAAAATGTTCGTAACTCAACTTAAATATGAGACTTATAAAATCCTTTAAGCCAAATTAAAGCCAAAGTATTAAACTGTCCCAATTACATATTTGTGAGACCCTGAACCGAGTGCCTTGTCCAATCCATTAAATGTGGAATCGAAACGCTCATATTGAGTTGGATTCACGATGTGAAGACATATTTAATTTGATTGCTATCTTTGAAAAGGAGTCGCCACTTACATCTTTTACTTTGAGGTAAAAATCTAAGGAAAACCCTAATGTTGACTTTGGACATTGGTCCAAATGGATAAAATGCACTAATCATTGAAACCGAGGAGGATTCGAGGACTAGATTTTTCAATTTTAAAATAATCGATTCATTGGCCTAAATGTTAATGCTTCGTCAAATAAAAAACAATTTAAAGATGGATAAATGCATAGCAATTATAAAAGGCGATAAAGAAAGTAATAAAAAAAGCGATAAATAAAACAGTAAAAGAATAAAGGGAGTGTCATATCGTTTAAAGGATCCTAGAATGGCCATACATCTCCCAATTAAGAAATGAAATTTTAAATGAAAATGAATGAAAACAACAAAAAGGGGAATGTCATCTCTAGCCCTTTTAAGAAAAGTTTAGGATGACCACACGTTTTCCCGAATAAAAAATAAAGCAAATATCCATAAAAGCAAATAAAGGAAACACAAGGCATCAAAAGGAGTATTGCCTCTAGCCCTTTATAGGATTCTAGGACAATCACAAGTCTCCTAATTGAATGAAATAAACTTGTAGATCCAAGAAAAAAAAAGAAGAAGGAAAATGGGGTTTTGTGGATTTTTGTTTCGCAACTCGAGTTTTAGTAGTCGAGTCTGCTTGCTTATTCCATTGAATAGAAATCAGAACCAAGCAGTTTTTCCATTGTGAAATAGGAATTTTAATTATGAAAAGTGTGTATGTATGCGTGTGTTTGTCAAAAGTTAGCTTTAGCGCCATTTTGGGTAAAACAAAGTCGTTTGATTTGGAAATAATGGCTTTAGTCGCCAAATTGATGAAAATGTGAATTCAATTGCCAATATGATTTAAAAGTGATTTTAATCGCCAATTGATTGAAAAAGTGGCTTTAGCCATCAGCTTTAGTCGTCAATTTTAATGTGAAAATGGTTCATTTGGCTTTAATTACCAAAGTTTTTAAAAGAAAAGGAGATGAAATAGTGCACATAACGAAGCAGGGAAAACAAACAATTCCTATCTATTCATCTAATATAAGCATGTAAGTTATGTTCATGCCATTAAAAAATTTAGAGCCTCACATTGAAGACAATTATAACAAAATAAAAAATTCAAAATTATAAAATTGTACGATCATGCTTAAAATGCAAAGGCAAAAGTGTTGTACTTAAGGCATTCTATAAATATGGAAAAGAGATGTTTAAATCTAAGAAATATAATTCAAAGTCTCTAACCTAAGGTAAATGGTTTAAGGACTAATCATGCATTCTAAATATTAAAGCATTTATTTAAACTTAGTTAAACGTGTATTTAATTGAATTGA